CCTGACGGATCAGCCACCTAAAGTGGACACACAAGGAGTGACATCTGTCGGGTGTCGGCAGGTGGAGGGGAGAGGGGGACGGTGTAGACAGACACGACGAGGGACGTGGCCCGTCTAGGGATGGCAAGCCTCTCGAAGCTCTGACTCAAGGGGGGAGGGGCCGTGGGACATCAAAGCGAAATATACGTAACCCTAACACTTGTACCCCCAGAATCCCGCCTAAAAATAAAAAAGTAAATAGTGGCTAACGCCTGTCAGGATCCTAGCACTCTGGAGGCGGAGGCGGGAGATCGCTCGAGGTCAGGAGTTCGAGAGCCAGCCTGAGCAAGCGAGGACCCCGTTCTTGAGCTAGAAATAGAAATAAATTAATTGGCCAGAATACTATAATATAGAAAAAGATGAGGCCGAGGTGTGGCGTGGCGCATGCCTGTAGTCCGCAAGCTGACTTGGTAGAGGGAGGCTGCAGGGCAGGAGGATCGTTGAGCCAGAGTTGGAGGTTGCGTGTGAGCGAGGGCTGACTGCCACGGCATCGGGCGCACTCTAGCCGGGCATCAAGAACGAGACTCTGTCTCGAAAAAAAAAATACTGTTGCATTGGGGATTAAGTAAAATAATAAGAAAGTCAGGCCTTAAATAAATAAATAAAAATAAAAAATAGAAATTCAAATTTAATTTAAAAAAATTAAAAAGAAAAAGAAAAAGAATTAAAAAACAAAAAAGAAAGAATGACACATATTTTCGCAGTGCACCCTATCTGGCTGTCTTTAAGGCACCCAGAACATTCTGACATCGCTCGGGATTCATAAAAAAGAAAAGTCCAGCTCTTCTTAACAAACTGTGCCCCGTGCGAAATTCTGAGTGGATTATTTCACGGGACCCATGCGAACGCACGACATGTTCCCTCCGGAAAACACTCACAGATTATTGCCATCAGGGAATTGAAGTTGCCGATGTTAAAGCACTCCCGGGCCACGTCGATGAAGTACTCGATCATTCTCGCCCGGTGCTTCTTCTTCACTGGCTGCAGAGGGCGAAAAACGACAGGGAGCCCGTCACCCCACACGAAGGCTCTTGAAAATCGCACGGAAAACAACAACAACAACATCCGGGGCTAGGAGGCGGGGAAAGAGCGTGTTGTTCTCACCATGCAGATTTCTGTGGCCACCAGGTAGCTGAGGCGATTGAACCACTCCACGTAAGCCTCTAGATTTCGCGTCTTCTTGCGTTCGCTGTAGCAGGTCTGCAGAGAAAGCAAAGAATCGATCGATACACAGGTGAGTCAGAGGGGAAAAAAAAAAAGAACCTATTGCAATGTCATTTTGCCTAAACTGGGCCTCTGCTGTCAGGTCTATGGATTGGAAAATCTTTGGGGTGCAAGAAGAGAGAGAGACAGACAGACAGAGAATGGATCTCTAGCATTCTTTTCTTTCTTTTTTTTTTTT